GTTCTTATAAAAGCACGGATGACCGCGATTGGCCCATATGTTGTAGTCTTTTGGACGCTGAGTCGACTGGTTTTGGTCCGAAAAGGCTGCGATATAGCGTTCGGCCCTTATTCCCGATCGAACATGGCTGAACAAGCGGTCACGTGCTCCTGCGTACACAAGTTACCTGGTCACTGCTCCATCAGGCTACAACTTTCACACCAAGGTTCAAAGGTTCAACTCGAGTGATAGAAACTCGCTCAAACATGCTATAACTTTAAAAGTTGGAATAAGGGCTGAATGCTACATCACAGCCTTTTCGGACCAAAACCAGTCGACTCAGCGTCCAAAAGACTACCACCATCTCCTTTCGTGGTCGTATTGTGGAGGTGGTCTGCTGTCTGTAGGTCATACGACACGGACCTTGTACACATATTCCACATTTTGCAGTAAATCCAGGGATATCCGTACCTTCGAGCGGACAAAAGCTCCACACAAAGCCTGCCAAGTGTGCCCTTAGTACACTAAGGTTCTCACATCGTACAAACTTCGTTGCACTCTGCCATACGATTTTCCTTTCCCGGGCTGTAAAATCAAGGTGGGGCGCTCTGGCGGTACTTTACGGTAGTACAACATATGGGCCAATCGCGGTCATCCGTACTTTTATAAGAACGAAATGGCGCTTTTAGTGACGTTTTGCATACAAATCCCCATCTAGTAGGGCCACCCAGTTTCGGTGGAAGTGCGCGAGGTCGATTGGGAATAAAGGAGGAAGGGAGCGTCTCAGCTTCCTCAGACCAAGACCATTCAACTCAGCACCCCGAAGACTACAACTGGTGAAAATTTGATTCCAGGCTTACGGGTGCATGCCTGTATGTGGAGAGTGCGTTAACTTCCCCTTTAAAGCGAGGCTCTACTGTACATGTACATGTAATGTAAAGAACTTGGTGTGCCCCCGTCAATTTCTACCTGTAAACGACTTCAGCACATACACCAGAATACAGCGCTGAACCAATTCAATTATCATGATCATGCACATGGACCACATGATAGTACATTCGAGCGCAGGTATTCCCGGGGGGGGGGGACTTTACATTATTTCACTTGCAAACACATTGCACGTTACATGCAATTTCGATTCCTTCACTGTACATGTAGATCTACATAAGAAAAGGAACAAAACAGCCCAGCTGCAGCATGCATTCTTGATCAATAATCTGGCACACCCTGGTTTCAGTCAACCACATGGTACTGTAGCAACTAAAAGTGCTTATAGCCGAGACACAGGCAGGAAGTGCTATATGTGTGCTTTCTTTTCCATCTCCTTCACAATGAGGAAACTCAATACAAGTGCAGACTGCCTCTTTTACGGCCAAAGAAACACAGTGTATGGTGAAGAAAGTGTCCTAAGGCCGAGTAAAGGAAATAGCTAACTAATAGGAATGGTAAAGCTACTAAAAGACTGGAACTGAACCCTTTAATTTAAACAACTTCCAGCTAGTATGTGACATACAAGTCAGTTAGGTTCAACACTATGCCAGTGGATGACAGGGCAGTGCCCAACTCCGATGCCAACCAGCCACGTCATGGACAGACGCACCAATGAGATGGTTAGGGATAGCCGGAGGCGAAAGTTAACCACAAGGAGGAACGGAGAAATAATAATTGTGTACAGCTACAAACAGGATCCGGAAACACAAGCTTTTCGGTCAAAGGGAATGAATTCTACACGAGCATCTTGAGAAAAGCACATGTGTCATTCCCCATACTTCACAGTCTAGCCAGCACCAGCATTTACACACTGAATGCCGGCATAAGATAGAGTGACCAAATTAGGACAACATCACCAGGCCTGGCAATCAAACAGAAGATCGTTGTCCATAGACTGTTGTCCATATTCGAGAGCCACATGGATCTGTATGCAGTGACCATGACGATTGACCATGATACTCTATAGGCACTTGGATACCCATATGTGCACAGAATATGATTGGAAAAACCTCAACCAAGACAGAGGCACTGAAAATCTGTCGCCAGTGGCTTGTTTAAACACGGCTACGAATCCCACCAGACCAAACTCACACAATCCACTACAAACGAGCTGTAAATGGTCAGCGTGCTGTGTTCGAAACCCTGGACCACGTTCCTCGGCAAAGGACAAGACGGGTGTGCACGTTCTCTTAACCAGTTCAGCCGTGCATGGGATGTGACAGTATTGCCTGTGACCGAACAGCTTGCAAGGAACGAGACAATCCCTCTAGTAACTGCATATGGCACATTTCACAAGGCATATCCTTGGCCTGAGAGTACACCATGACGATTGTTCCTTCATTTCTCTGACCAGTTGGGTCCACACTTGAGGTCCATAATCAAGATGGAGAGCAGCCAGCTTGCTCTATGAACGCATGCAACAATGTTCAGTAGACGGCATAATCCCGACTCCTGCATGGACAAAAACAAAATGAAAAGCCACACCAAGTCATAAGCATCAAAGTTCATTGTGAGGAATTATTGATCAATGACCGAGTACTGTAGAACGGGTAATTCTAGCGACTATTAATTTTAGCGTTTTCCCATTGTCAACCGGTTAGCGACGTTTTATTTTAGCGATTTGCATTTTTCTTCATTGTACACATTTTGATACTGCATTCTACTACTGTATGTACAAACCATCACTACCGTGTACTATGAGTGCTAGTACGAGAGAACATCATAAAACATGTGCTAACTAGTACTACTACTTGAAGTACTAGTATGACTACTCACTCCTCACGGATCACCAGTGCACTACTAATGTCTCAACGGATTAGCGACTTGAAACTTTAGCGAAAGTGAGTCGATCGCTAAATTCACTAGGGTTTTTACGTCGCTAAAGTTACCCGTTCTACAGTAATCGGTATAATCGTTTCAGCCCTACTTGTACAGTGCGTATCGGTTATAGCGTGGTCGTGTAAAAGAATATACTGCCTACAAGAATGAACTCTCATGTTTTCATAATCATAACATGGATTTCAATTTTCAAGTGCACATTTATTCTTACAAGCAATTTTATAGTACAGTAGAATATATCGGTCCTAAGAATGGACTTTGTGTAGCAAAACATACCAGATTAGTACAAAGTATATCGCCTGTAGTAATAACATCCGTCCAATGCAGTTCCGACCTGACTCGCGTTGGGTCGCAGTGCTGCAGGTTCAATTGTTGTGGTCATGTAACTCATGTTGCATAGCCACATGGTAAGCCTATGTGACTATGCCCAGCCGCATGCACTGTAACACTACATTGTATGTACGATGATCTTCCTGACTCCGTGTACATGCATGTGATATGTCACACTTGATTTATCGTGTGTAAGAAATATCGGAAATAAGAATAGAAAGTCGTTTTTCAAACACCCACGCTATAACCGATGCCTACTGTACTTCGTAGGTGAACCCAATCCCACGGGCCACGACACGCTGATACCACAGGGTACCGGGTCCACCATATGCCATCTTTACAGGGTTTAATGCGCAGCTTCCACATTCCATACCGGTAACACAACTACAAGCACATGCGCCTCTATGTGAGACCAATCAACCTGCAAAAGTTACAAATACGGCAAAAGCGTGTGTATAAGCGCATGGGCCATTACAATATGGTCCTCTTGTCAGGGTCTGTTCACTGCAGTGCTGTCCTTTTTTCTCGGCTTACGGGGCAGGAATATCTCAACAGGAATGTCCCCGTTGTGTTGGTGATGTGCACGCGGCGTGGGTCGGCTAAGAGTGCAGTGTGGAATGGTGGAGTGAGTTAATTCACCGAGAAACGATGAAGGTAATAATTGCGCCTGCCGAACACCATGAGACTCCAGAACATGTCTTTGTCTATGGAGTAATTAAGAGTGCATACATACTTATTTAATTCTACCCAACTTCCCATGACTACCATGTATGAACTGTGAAATCGGGTGAAGAGCCTCAATGGACATCGCTCTGAACTACAATTTTGACCCTCGCTTGCAGCTGATCTGAGAACGCGATCAGCCTTTTGAAGTGTATCTGTTCACATTCAAAACACCCATTAACATTTGTAACATCGTAGATAATTGTCCTCAAGTTTACGAGAAGAAAATCAGAAATCCATCAGCCATACTAGTTTTCGTGATTCTCGTGTATTGGCAACTGGGGTATTAGGAAAAATTCGCCAAATTTTTGGGCAAGTTACTATCAAGACAATTTTTGCTTTATGAGCAGCCTAGGACAATGGACTATACACACCTGAGGTCTGGGCGGTGTCCGGTAGTTCTTTTTTGGTTCTCACGCCATCAAGTATTTTGGCATCCAAAAATCATAAATTCTGGACGACGCAAAATTGAGAAAAGTGGCTCTGCTGCAACATGACGGAACAATCTCTGGCGGAACGGCTTCCAGATTTTGTTTAGGGACTATCCTAGCCCTCAGCAGGCCAAGTTACAATAGCATTCATGAAAGTCTTCCATGCCAAATCGACGACGATCAAAATGGTGATTCTGCTCAAAATTGGTCCCAGAAAAAGTCGAAAAAAGCGGCGTCGTCATCTTCATTTTGCATAAAGATTCGGCTCATTTTTGGCCCTTGGCGCATGGACTGAATCTGCAGATACCCCCGCCCACGGCGGAATTTTTTGTTGACGTCACCTTTTTTCAGAGAAACGCGGACTTTGCCGCAGAGCAGTGTGAGAGCACGTGCTGGGCACCGACCTTGCTTGAGCTTGTGTAAAACCCGGCCAAGTGCACGAGGGAAACCTCTCCAAAAGGCTCGCAGCGCGTGCGTCGTCGAAAAGATTACGTCAACAAAAAATTCCGCCGTGGGCCAACCCATCCGCGAGTTGCACACTCTTGTTTATCTACTCTTGGTTTCACGTATAGCAGAACCTCTCTACTAGGGAGGTTAAGGTTCTGCTATATATACGTGAAACGTAGAGAAATCACGTAGAGAGCAGGTGTCTGGGTTAGAGTCTACGGCTTCGCGTGTTTTGGCTCCAGATTTCTACGCGGAGATGGGGTTCTCTACGTAAAAAAAGTGTCGTTGTGGCACACGCAGAGAAAATGCGTACGGATTTGCTGGGTATCGATCAACTGCATGCAGAAAACTGCCAAATATGGAAGGGGAAATTCCCAGTACACATTCCACGTGACTTCTCTAGGTGAAACGTAGAGCAGAACAGCATTTCTTTACGTTACGGGAACGCGAAGAAAGTTCGCGTGATTCTTTGCGTCGCGTTCCCAAAACGTAGAGCAGAACCTCCCTACTGTCCATATTGCCCAACGCCGTAATCATGGTAATATGGAGCAGGGAGTCGTATTTTACGACTCCCTGATATGGAGTCTTCTGTGCCCTGACACCCCATGGCAGGCCAGGGGTAGGAGTCCTACGTTGTATGTGTCTACTACTTGAACTACTCTGCTTGTAATACTTTGTGAACTCGCTTTAATACTATAAAACAATGTAGAGAAAATTTGTATACGCAATGCAATGCAATAATATTATATGCTCCCGTTCACATGCACAAAAATGATCCTCCCCCCCCCCCCCCACATGTACCCTCACTCCTAAAATTTATGCTGTTCCCAACATGGACTCAGCACATGCAAACGCCATCAATGCAGTGCAACTTGACGTAACGTCATCAGCTACTCGAGTTACAAGCCTTGTGTTGAAGAAAAACATCAGAATAAAACTCAGTGTGCTGCCAGTGAGGATTGCACATCCCAACATCCATTCATTGCCACACAGCAAGATGAATACCGTATTTTCCGGAGTATAGTGCGCACTTTAGATGTGCTATGTTAGGCCCTAAATCGCAGGTGCGCACTATGCTCCGAATATGAAATGCATGTACTTCAATGAAGTGCGCACCCCCAATGAAGATCGGGGGTGCGCGTTATACAAAGGTGCGCACTATACTCCGAAAAATACGGTACAGTACTACTAGTATTAAAGAGAAATAGGAAAAGTACAGGGGGCCTAAAATAAAATAACTCAGACTGGACAAGTGAAGGGATTCCAGCAGTAGCGGCAGAGACGCCTTATTGAATCCACGCCGTAACTTTCATCTCAGACATCCGCGGCACAAGTCGGAGTACTTTGAGTTCACCGCAAGAGAAAAAAAGGTCATGCTGGAATGGCTAGTGTCAGCCACAGTCAGTGGTCAGGCCCAGACGGTACCATTACAACCATAACTGTTACCGGCCAAGCAGAGCAGCGCAGCAGAGCTTGGCGTCGCGTTGGCAGGTTCACGGCTGCACGTATCATAGCTGCTGTGCATTTCAAAAGGCACTCAGCGGACGGACAGTGTCCGGGGGATGGGCTGCACCCCGTGCACTTCGGTGTCAAGTGGATACAAGCAACAGTGTACTGGCAGTTGTCATCAGTGACAGAGGCAATCCCAACCACCCTTAAATCCACTCGGACAGGTGGGATTTGGGAAGAGGAGATCGCCTTGTTCTGTCACCAGCATCATCAACTCCATCATCACCAACAGTATCATTATCATCACCAACGTAATCATCACCACCAGTATTAGCATCAGCATCATTGCCACACACTGGGCTCATGGTGGTGCTGAGCCAAGCATGATCCTACCGAGCACACAAAACGCACACAGTGAACAAGCACACAATAGCAAAGTAAAGATATTGGCACATGCACTGCAACGGGCAGCATCTATCTATCTACCTACGTAGAGCAGGAGTAGTACAGCAATCTTCAAGTTACACGGAATACCGTATTTCCACAAATAGTAGGCCGGTCTACTATTTTTTCAACCTCGTCCTAACCCGGCCTTATAATCGAGGACGGTCTTGTATTCAAGGACGGTCTTTTATTCTTTCAACCCAGTTTGAAACCGGTCTTCTATTTTTCGCCACACAGTTTTACCCCCATTCTTCCATTTTCTTCCACACAGTTTGAGCACGGTCTTCTACTTTTACCCACAGTTTGAGCACGGTCTTCTATTTTTAACACAAGTTTGAGACTCATTTAGTAGGCCCGGTCTTCTAATCGGAGACGGTCTTTTATTTTTTCAATCGCCCCCTGCCCCGGCCTTGTATACGAGGTAGGCGTTGTATATGAGGACGGCCTTTTATTTGCGGAAATACGGTAAGTACGTGTATTTGTATTTGTGTGGTACATGGTGAGACAATACTTGCACATCCACTCAGTGCACAACGGACAACACTCGGAATAATGACATTAGAGAGGTTCCGGGGTACGATTTTTCGTGTCAAAATCCGTCGAGGCGCTACGGATTTTTTACACGTCGTTTTCGAGCAGCGAAATCTTCCGGAGTACGGAACTTATGTGTTTGCCGTCATTGCCTAGGTTACGATCGCAAACACGTCCCATTCCCGCACTATGCCTTTTTATTTTGAAAATTTGTACCGAAATCAAAACTTCCCGCGGAAAATCGATGTTTCTCGTACCAAATTTGTACGCGAAAAATCTTTCTGCACCCGATGACGCAAAATCTCCATACGAAACATGGTTCGTATGAAAGCCAGTCCACACGGATTCTTCGTGCCGAAAAATCGTATGGAGCACGCCTCGAAAAAATCCGTAGCGCCCATACGGATTTTGGCACGGAAAATCGTACCTCGGAACCTCTCTATTATCAAAACCACATTCACATTGAGCCACAGTGTTGAGAAGGTGAAGACAACTCTCAAAGGGCGCTTGCATACCGGTACATCTGCACAAATGCTGCAAAGGATTTTAAAAGCAATTCAGTATGCTGTCCCTTAAGGCCTTGTCAGCATACCAGACCGTTACTCAAAGCCGTGCGGTGGCTTACCAGCGATTCCTGCACTCGACGGCGTCACGACGCACCAATCTCTTGTGATCATCTAGACTGGCCACCAGGTCCTGTGTGAGACGATTCTTGTGAGGATACAACTAGCAGATACGAGGAGCAGACATCGAGAACAAGAATGGAACAACACAGAAAACTCAAGTGAAAATAAGGAACATGCATTGGTTTTAGCCACCACATAAGACGTTTCCCCATCGCAAGTTCTGTGGAGGTGAATTTTGCCAGGGCACCAAAAGCTCCAGGGTGGGGGCAGCCAACTTTCCTACGACACAAACCGTGTCATCAAGTACAGCACAGGCTCGAAAACGTGCAAGTCGGCGGAGTCAGCAAGAGTGCCTGAATCCAGACTTAAGTAAGTGTCTACAAACACAGGTAAATACTAAAATAGTAACGGAGGACTGCATGGCATTGGCTGCTAATGGCTTGTGGGTGTTTCTGAAGCATTTTCTGTGTGTACAAGTACATTCGCAATTCAATGAATTCATGATCTGCTGCTGAGCATGTGAGTCACTTCTGCTACAGAAGTCTACAAACCAACCAGCACGACATTTCGAGAAAAAAAGGGTGACAGAAACACATGCTTTTCTGTCACTTTATTCATCAACATCACGGCCCTTATATGCTACGTAGCCCCACACAGCCCAACTTGTCAGCACCATTACAACTCCACTGATTCATACAATCCAGTGCCATTCAGAGTAGGATCTGGCCTAAAAGAGAACTTGGTATGGTTGTTGCTGAGGTGATGTTGCAATGCTTACCAGGTGGTGCGGCAGGGCAGTCAATGAACCAAGACACCTGAGAGAGGACTGGCGAACTTTCTGCAAATACCACACACGCACGCACGCGCGCGCGCGCACACACACACACACACACACACACACACACACACACACACACACACACACACATACACACACTTGTTGCTCACTGCCAAAACTGGTTACGTGGGTCTCCCCGGGAGAGGGGAGAGAGACTCAAAAGGAACACACACACACACACACGCACACACGCGCGCGCACACACACACATACACACACACTCATACACACACACACGCACACACACCAAGATATAGCATGCAGGAGAAAACGAGAGCGTGAGTAGTTACCCATGCTATCGTTGTACGGGGATGGGAACTTCCCCACTGCTACATGGTAGTTTCCTGATGCAGGAGACTCTTCTTCTTTGCTGCCCAGCTGCCGGCAGGTGCATCATAGCATGGGCGTAGTCCTAGCAGTCCCCTGGCCAAGTACATTGCACATGCAGGCTCTATATGCCTGCTATCACCCCACTATCTAATAAATGTTTAACGGAGACCTGGTCGAATCGCGTGCAACCTTAGGAGTCTGAGCCGCAGGGAAGATAACATACTTTAAACGTGTGGCTAGTACTGTGGGCATAACGGTATACACGGTGCGAAACAACAGCTAGCTGTCCGGATACTGGGTACGTTTGATTTATATACAATGTACATTGTACTGTTGATGCTCAGCACATTGTAAATTTTCCGTGACTGGTAGATTTAACTGTAGAGTGGCGAACGTCTGGCCCCTATCCTATAAATACACATTGTGTACTCTGTCAAGCACCCTACACCCTACCATATTGCCCTGGAAGCGGGAGAGTTTGAGCAGCAGTGGGATAATGTCTGACACATACTGTCCCATCACGTCAGGCGCGCCATTCATCAGTGCCATGATAGCGTTGAGTGATGATGTCAGAAGCTGAGCACTTGAAGACGACAGGCACTGGATAACCAGCGGAAGAAGCTGCACGCAAATACAAACCAAGAGAGAGAGAGAGAGAGAGAGAGAGAGAGAGAGAGAGAGAGAGAGAGAGAGAGAGAGAGAGAGAGAGAGAGAGAGAGAGAGAGAGAGAGAGAGAGAGAGAGAGTGCGTGAGTGAGTGAGTGAATGAGAGACAGACAGACAGACAGACAGACAGACAGACGCATACATACACAGACAGACAGACACAGACAGACAGACACAGACAGACAGACACAGACAGACACAGACAAACAGACAGACACAGACAGACAAACACAGACAGACACATATTGACATAGACAGACCCAGACAGACCCAGACAGACCCAGACAGACCCAGACAGACCCAGACAGACCCAGACAGACCCAGACAGACACAGACAGACCCAGACAGACCCAGACAGACACAGACAGATACACAGAGAGAGAGAGAGAGAGTGAGGGAGAGAGCCCATGCATCCAACACACAATCATGTCTTACTGGTGGTATTTCACTGAGCAGGACTTGTTCAGGCACACAGAAAAGAAGGTGAGAAAGCGCCGTCAAGAAATGATCCTTTACACTGCCTGAAACGAGCAAAGACACACACAGCCAACACACACAGGGATTAGCATAGAGCAGCACACCATGAACGCACAGCATACTGATGAGGCTGCGAGAACTAGTACTGCGAGCAAAGTAAAAGTAGAGTTTGCATGTCTGCATTACCACCGACTATGCTGTAGTGCAATTCTGTTATGAAACACAACCAGCTTAGGAAGTAGTTCAGTTTGCACGTCCACGTTACAACCGGCTATACAATTGTGTTGAGAAACACAACCAGCTTAGAGACGTTTCGCCAGTACCGGTAGTTCAACAGAGAGCATCGTTGAAAGTGGATTGCAATGCTACAGACAAACACAGGATATCCTTCAGGATAAGACACCACTATTCACCTAGACACAACGTGACGTGACTGTGTGACTGCGTCTGGTATTCACATACCATCTCCTGCCTCCTTGAAGCCTTCCACTAGCTGCGGGCGAACTTGAATGAAGAACTTCTGCTTGTGGAGGAACTGCACGGGGCAGACGGAGAAAGGTGGAGAAAGATAGAGAGACAAACAAGCCAATTAAACAGAGTTTCCTTCAATTCCTTGTGGCAGAATCAGTCTGACTGTAAGCCTAGCAAACACGCACGCACAACCTCCATCTAAAATGCAGTTCTAGAACATCCAATATCACTACATTCCCTCATCACACGCAAGCAAGCAAACACATACGTGGCCTGCCGGCCCGCACCCCCCCCCCCCCCCACGCCACCCACACACGCCTGCACCCCCCCCCCCCCCCCACACACACAGGTCAGTTGCTCAGAGAGGAGACATGTGATTTGGTCTCACCATAACCATAGCTCCACCAGCCTGCGTCAAGTTTCTACTCGCATCATCATTCAGCAACAAGGAGAAGGCAGCAGCAGCAGCACTGGCTTCGGGGCCATTGCGAGTGAACAGGCTTATCAGCTGCAGAGCAGAAGTTGAAGCACAAATACCGCATACAATGGTACACATGCAAGAAGTTGTGAACTTCAAATGCATTGAAGCAGGACTCTAGTGACTGGTTTCCTGCCTGAGAACTCTTTTCCTGTTATTGTCAGACTTTGGGTAAACAGTGGCTGAGCTATAAAGCACCAATTGCCATACCCTGAAGGCGGCGCCGTACCTAATACTGAAGTTTCACTGGACCCTGTCTAGTGTGGATCAAGAGAACCATGGGCAAGACTTTTCACCAGGCATGGAACATAAAAAACTAGATACACCTGTTGAACGTCTTCCTTTGTACATGTACAAGTACTTGGTATCCCATAGTGCCACATGTTATGTGCAGGGTAGTACTTTATACTGAACAGTGTGTCACGGTGTGCATGTACCTGGGCCATACCTTAGCAGAGAGCTCCATGGAACTGGAATGGGACCGCAGCACCATAGCACGCGTAACCTGAGATTGGCAACGGACATCAGGAGAACAAAGAACCAGCGGTGTGTTAGATGCGGCGGCTGTTCGCCTGCCGCTGGAGCAGCACAATGTACAGAGCTGGCTAGAGAAATCCAGCCTCGTGAACAAAGTAGCGCCGCGTTCGAGTGCACAGACCAGTGTGCGTAGTGCTAGGGCTGCGCAGCGCCCGGCGCTATTTTATTCATGAGGCTGGATTTCTTTGGCCAGTACTGCACAACATCACTAGCAATGCACACCAGAACGAACATGTACATGACTGTAATGTACTGCTGCTCTCTGATTCCGATGTGCAGCATCATGTAACTAGCTTGGACAGCACAGCACTCCTAGCAATGCGCCAGGAAGGTATGCTTCCAAACAAGTGACTCATCAACAAACTGATGAATGCCATTGCTAGGCTGACCTTAGCGACCAGGTCTCCCGTGTCTGTCTGTGTACTGACTTGTGCCCGGGACAATGGCATAACGTGGAGTGCCAAGACGTTTGTGTCCGCAGCTCCCCAGATGGCGTTGGGGCGGCTACATTAGGGAGGTTTAGTCCCACGTAATACGTGGGTACTTTACGTGGGTGCACCACGTGATACTCAGTGACCCACGTACAGACGTTTTCTGATTCACGACATACCGTGTATGGAGGCTCACCCACGTTCCGCCAGAACGTGGGTGAAAATCAGAATGGAGCGCATTGTGCGAGCTGTGAGGGTGCTCAGCTGAATAAGTTTCCGAAGCACGAAATCAAAATATTGGATGAGCTTCTTAGGCCGGGGTAGCTTCGTCTTTGACCAGGTTTTGGCCTTTCGCTTCATGCTTTTGTTTGTTCCGTGTGACTAAACACAACATTGCAACGTGGGTGCCCTTCATCCACTTTACGTGGATCACCCACGTACGCGTTTCCGTTACGTGGGAACTAAACCTCCCTAGTATCAAAGCCAACGGTTGGACCATGGATGGCACTAATGTGTGGTGTCTGCTAACCATGACATCTCCATCCCGAGCAACCGCACAGATCTGCACTCTTTCACGGGCCTTGTGAATCAATGTGCCGGCTACACGCCACGCCTGGCTAAGCTGAGTGCAGCCTCTACGCGGTCTCCTGAAGCCATCAGTCGAGTACTAGTACTTGTGGCATAGTGATTACATTGCAGCATTCAATGCCGTCAAGGTGAACTCATGTCACTGACAAGATGACAACATCAGTACAGCCTGCTCAAGCATTACAGCTACCAGTCTGCAGTTTTAACACCATTATGCATTTTTTGTCTTCATTGCACTAGACTGCTGCCTTTAATATTGAAATAAAAAAGGAAGCTACGCATGTTGGAAATATCTTCTGGCAAACAGTATCTTACCCATGCAAGGAGAGAGACAGCAGCATTCACGTTGCCATGTTCCAGTGCATTACTGATCACTGTGCTGGCATTGTGCAGTGCAGTGGACAAGGCTGACTCTGCACACATGCACATGCAGAGAAACAAGCAGGAGAGAGACATACAAATGTAATCGTTGTGGTAGTGGCAGAACAGCACTGCTGAGAGAGAGCGCGCGCGCGCGCGCGCGCGAGAGAGAGAGAGAGAGAGAGAGAGAGAGAGAGAGAGAGAGAGAGAGAGAGAGAGAGAGAGAGAGAGAGAGAGAGAGAGAGAGAGTGAGAGAGAGGGGGGAGAGAGGGAGAGAGGGAGGGAGGGAGAGAGGGAGGGAGGGAGAGAGGGAGGGGGGGGGAGGGAGGGAGGGAGGGAGGGAGAGAGAGAGAGAGAGAGAGAGAGAGAGAGAGAGAGAGAGAGAGAGAGAGAGAGAGAGAGAAAGAGAGAGGGAGAGAGAGAGAGAGAGAGAGAGAGAGAGAGAGAGAGAGAGAGAGAGAGAGAGAGAGAGAGAGAGAGAGAGAGAGAGAGAGAGAGAGGGAGAGAAGGAGACAGGAAAGAAGAAGAGAGAGAGGGAAGAAGAAGAGAGAGAGAGGGAGGGAGAGAGAGGTGCATATAATTGTCACGCGCGAATATACAAGCACATGCTCACACATCTGTGCACGGGCGGCTGGGGAAACACACATATGTACACACACACACACACACACACACACACATACACGCCATGCTCACATGTATGTTCACGCACGGCTGGGAAAACACACGCACGTGCGCACACACACACACACACACACACACACGGGCACACACACACACACACACACACCAAGACTGACCATCAGTGAGCTTGTTCAGCAAAGCGGCACTCAGCAGGCATGCTGAGGTCGCAGACTCGTCATGCAACAATGATACAGCCATGTTGAGGCTGGGTACCATAAGTGTGTGTACACCGTCTGGAAGTGCCTGCATCAAATACAAGTCAATGTATGATAATTATATCACACATACACACGTACACGCACGTGCACACGTACGCGCGCGCACACACACAAACACACACACATACATACACACACATTCAAAGGATGGCACACATTGCACACAGTTCACTCCAAACCGAGACAACCAGACATATCACAGCTCTGTCATAGTAGCAGTTTGGGAGAGTTAATACCGTCTTTTAAGCAGCTTTCATGATCAATCGGAGGCTTTGTGTAGGTCTCTCCCTTTCTTCAGAACCCCATAAAACCCCTGCAAACCCCGGCAGACCCAATACAGACCAGCAGCACATACAATCACATCTTATGCTTCACTTACCGAACCAGGAATGCCCGGAACGACGGCAGCCAGCAAAACAACATACTGAGACTGGCGTGGTGAGGCCGATGCCTGCAAGGTGGAAGAAAGTTAGGCAAGAAACACACAGAGAGACGGGCAGCAGTGAGAGAGTGAGAAAGAATGGGAAGCAGAGAAATATAAGTTGACGCTGATGAACCAAAAAGTTAGACTTTCAAAAGCAGTTGGCCCAGAATATTTAACTGTCACGTGTATAACACTCGGTAGAAACGTCGTTTCTTTTCTTCTCCCCAGTTTCCATCAGTGTCTCAACCTGTGAAGTAACAGTGCTACCTCGCCAAGTTGCCCCCAAGAACATCACCTGACCAGTGCATTAAGGATGCACAGATGTAAATCCTTACCTCAAAGGGAGCAAAGCCTGATGACGTTGACTCAGTAGCGGTCGCAACAAGCCGAGTGATGACATCTGTCTGTACCCTGGAAAGTAGAACACACCATGGCACACACCATGGCACGGCATGCAGATGGCAAGACATCAATGTGAACTTCCACAATACGCACAAGAAGTGTCTACAGGAGCGCACGTACCAAACAACAACAACAACAACAACAACAACAACAACAACAACAACAACAACAACAACAACAACAACAACAACAACAACAACAACAACAACAACAACAACAACAACAACAACAACAACAACAACAACAACAACAACAACAACAACAACAACAACAACAACAACAACAACAACTCTTATTGGCCACTGGCTATCGTGAAAATAAAGATTTGAAACAAGAACAAGAACAAGAACAACAACAACAACAACAACAACAACAACAACAACAACAACAACAACAACAACAACAACAACAACAACAACAACAACAACAACAACAACAACAACAACAACAACAACAACAACAACAACAACACCAGCAGCAACAACAAAACAACAACAACAACAACAACATCGTGAGAATAAAAGATTTCAAACAATAAAAGATTTCAAACAACAACAACAACAACAAACTCTCTTATCGGCCACTGGCTATCGTGAGAATAAAGATTTGACACAACAACAACAACAACTCTTATTGGCCACTGGCTATCGTGAGAATAAAGATTTGAAACAACAACAACAACAATAACAACAACAACAACAACAACAACAACAACAACAACAACAACAACAACAACAACAACAACAACAACAACAACAACAACAACAACAACAACAACAACAACAACAACAACAACAACAACAAAAACAACAACAACAACAAAAACAACAACAACAACAACAACTCTTATTGGCCACTGGCTATCGTGAGAATAAAGATTTGAAACAACAACAACAACAACAACAACAACAACAACAACAACAACAACAACAACAACAACAACAACAACAACAACAACAACAACAACAACAACAACAACAACAACAACAACAACAACAACAACAACAACAACAACAACAACAAACTCTCTTATCGGCCACTGGCTATCGTGAGAATGAAGATTAGACACAACAACAACAACAACAACAACAACAACAACAACAACAACAACAACAACAACAACAACAACAACAACAACAACAACAACAACAACAACAACAACAACAACAACAACAACAACAACAACAACATCATCTCTTATTGGCCACTGGCTATCGTGAGAATAAAGATATGAAACAACAACAACAACAACAACAACAACAACAACAACAACAACAACAACAACAACAACAACAACAACAACAACAACAACAACAACAACAACAACAACAACAACAACAAGCAGCTCCGATGTAAAATATAGCGGGGAGTGACTGGGTTGGTGCCGTCACCAGTGGCGTTTCCACCAGGTCTGCAGTACTGTATTCGGTTAGCAAATCATTGCACAGTGGTTGCCTAACGTAATGATACCGAGTTCACTATGCACACACCAGGCTACGCTGAAGGACATTACGAGCTCAGAAAGCTAGCTATAGCTACTCCTACTCTACATTACTCTACCCGTAATGTGTTGACATACCTGGACTCCGCCGAGCGAATCAACGTAGCAACGAGCTTTGATGCGGACTGCAGCACGGCCAGATTGGTGAAGAGCAAGACCTGAACTGGGAGATCGTCTCCTTCTGCTGAGTTGCATGCAACACAAACACATGCAAATACATACAGGGAATAATTTACTTTCAATCTTTTGCATAGCAAATTTTGCTAAACAAAATCAAACTTGCATAGCAATTTTCTTGAATACTTGACAACATTGTCATTCTGGAGAGCGCAAGCTCAGACCACAAGTACGCTGTAACACCTTAGTTGCAAGCCTATAGTAGCCTGGTGCCCGGATGCTTAGCTCAGCACTTTCAAAGCTTCGTGCATCTATTTCATCCCTAAGACACACTCGGCATGTACACTGTGCTTCATAGGGCACAGTGAAAAATCAACATGCATTGCAGTTTTCTGCAACACATATCTGAAGTTGCTTCGCACTTCAGAAGACTTGCGTAGCAAACTGCGATGCGACACCGGTTTAAAAAATTATTCCCTGACTACATAAATACAATGGCTTTCGATACTGGCATACCTGACATGCCGGTAACTACAGACAGTGCTTGCAGATTGCACCAAACAGATCACATGCATCATTCCCAGGCGGGGTGAAGTCATCAAACAGCCAGCTGCTTGTTGAAGAAGGGATTCAAATCGAATACAGCGATGGCGTGTAGGAGGCTCTGCCTCCTTAACCCATTGAGGGTCGAACTATTTTCGGAGAGTGTGAACATTTCGGAGGATTCACATAGAATACGATTTATCTCAACAACTATGAGTATTTGTAAATACAGACACACACATTTTCTGAAAGGTTTTGTTCATCTGAATTATAAAAAACGCATGGCCTCAGATATGTAGAAGGAGCCAAAATTGGCGAAGTGTCCAGCAGAACAACTAGACCGCTTTATACGCACATTAGACTCATTTTGGCATGGTTATGTGGCAGTTCTTTGAATTATGTGCAGTTGTACACAGTGTTTGTCACCAAGATGTTGACCTCCTTGCTGTGTGTGTTTGCTGTGTCGGGTGACATACCATCCCACTACATGGAATGGATGCATCACACCAGATGACTATAAAGTCCTTGAAGAGCAGCATCAAGCTGCAGGCTATTGCGCTCGGCTCTGCAACCACTCTCGTTCGCACTGCCAAGGCGGAAGTCAGGACAACAGCACGGAATGCTGTCAAAGCCCAAGCCCTGCTGCTCCGCTCCAGTCTGCCGGAGGCCAAGCAGCGTGTAATTGACCTGACTGCGGAGAAGGGCTCCTCCAGTTGGCTGACCTGCATGCCCTTGAAGCGCCATGGATTTGCCCTCTCCAAAGCGGAGTTTCGCGATGGAGTGCATCTAAGGTACAGCTGGCAACCTGACAACCACAGCGCATGCCATCAGCGTGCGTTTGTGGAAGCCAGTTTAGAGTGGCCCACACCCTGTCGTGCCCCACCGGCGGTTACCCTACCATCAGGCACAATGAGATCCGTGATGTGACTGCTGGTTTATAGAAGCGAGTTGCCACAAATGTGTCTGTGGAGCCTCATCTCGAGCCTCTGAGTGGGGAGCAGCTTCACTACCGCACCGCTATCCGCGACGATCATGCTCACTTGGATGTAGCAGCAAATGAAGTGTGGGGAGGGCAGTTCGAACGCACCTTCTTCGACATCCGGGTTTTCAACCCTTTTGCGTCTTCGAACCAGTCCTCCTCCATTTCCGCCACCTACATTCGCCACGAGAAAGCGAAGAAGAGATCGTACGAAGAGAGGCTGCGGGAGATCGAGCATGCTTCATTGCCTCGTTGGTCTTCTCGACAACCGGTGGCATGGACAAGCAATCTGCCTCGCTTTACAAGCGTATTGCATCACTCATTGCTGAGAAAAGCAGCGAACCGTATTCGGTTGTTATGGCATTCATCCGTCGCCGCCTTAGGTTTGCTTTGCTCAGAGCAAGTGTCATGTGGCTGGTTGGTAACCGCTTTGTTTTCGCTGTGCATGCACCTGTCTCTTCTCGCTGTGCATGCACCTGTCTCTTCTCGCTGTGCATGCACCTGTCTCTTCTCGCTGTGCATGCACCTGTCTCTTCTCGCTGTGCATGCACCTGTCTCTTCTTCTGCCTCCCTAGTTGCTGCCAAAGCCGGCACTTCACGTCATTTGTAGTCTTTGGCGCGGAACTTTAAATTTACTCAATCTGCGGACAGCATGCTGTTTCATTCTTTGTGAACTCATCAGCGCAGCACAGAGGAAATGAGGCCGAACTTTAAATTTATGCTGTTGGTTGTCTGTTTATATCACAGAGAAGGCGGAGAGCTCGAACGTTATTTTTTTTGTTATTTTTTTGTTCAAACAAGAACCACCTTACATTCTCACTACATACAGTTGCGCTCACTGAAATCCGACCCAACGTGCAAACCTGGCGCCCTCAACTTCCATGACCCTTGACGCCCTGGAAGTGGAACGAATGCGGCTGGGCGTACACATGTACACATACAATGATGTAAGCGGAACCAAGAGTACATAACCAAGAGTGTGCAACTGCCTGCACAACCTCTATGCTGTGCTGCGACGGCAGAACTTCATATCACGTGACATGGTTCAAAAGGTTATGCTGGCAAACAGTGCAAAGTGACCACAAGAGAGTTGTACCCAAAGCTGGGCTGCGTACAACCCAGTATCTATCATGCACTAGAGTGCACGGGTTCATCACGTGATGTGAAGTTCTGCCGCCGCAGACCCCATAGCTGGAGTTGCACACTCTTGGGTTATGTACTCTTGGCGGAACTGGTCCAGGATTTCAGTGAGCGCAACTGTACAATCTTGCAAATATTACAAACCTTCACAACTGCAATTCGACTATTGGCGAATTCTTGTGTTTTTGAAGAATGAAAAAGGAAAAGTGGGCCCAAATAGCCCATATTTAATATGGGCTATTTGGGCCCACTTTACCAAAACTTTAGCCCGGGGAGGTTCCCACCAGATAGGTCAGCAGAATACACCAACAACTACTTCGAGTAGCAGACTCACCAGTGAACTTAGCAGCAGTGGTTATGCACTCGATCAGATGAAGAACAATGGGCTGCCAGACTATCTCCAGCATTGCTGATGTTTCACCAGAGAAGCCTAGGAGAGAAAGAGAATACACAACAGAAAGCAAAAAACAAACTCTCAGTTTTATCTCCGATAATGGTGTGCTTGGGTGAACAGCTGGTTTCTCTAAAAAAATAACATTGCAATTCTCACTGCGCACCAAGGGTTGCAGTGTCATTAGAGATTGGAATGTTTGCCAATCTACACCATTACTTCAACAACGGTCTGAGGATTCAGGACAGATACAGTAGTGTCTTGTATGTTAAAGCCTAGAAGCCTGTTTCGAATACAAGCCTGATTTTCAAGGTGTACTGGAGGCACACCAGCCTGGTTTTAGTGTTGACATAATATTACTGGGTACATAGAGACATGCCTGGTTTGAATAGAAGCCTAGCACTGACATCGGCTTCTACAGGAATAAGCACGGCTTTTACACACGACAGGATTACAGCGTGTGGATAGGCTATACACACAGCACTGCAATGCAATATCAACATGCAGGGCCTGGTGGGTACTCACTAACCAGAGAGACCGGTCTGGAGAGTAGCCAGTAAAGAATGGCATCGGTCAACTAACACATCCGACCATTGCTCTGCAAGTACGGAGAGAAACCCACAGCACAAAAAAACCTCCATTAGACAAGCATACGTGTCATTCGTCAGCAGGTAATGTAGACAGAACAGAGGTGAGAATGAAGCTATATGTACATGTATGACTGCGGACTAAAAACAATACGTAACATCAAGGTGATCGGACTGCAAGAACACACACCTCGAAGAAGATGCTCCAAGTGTCCGATCCACAGCTCAACCAGGACAGGAAGCAGACATGCACTGCATGCCAGGTGGCCAGTCAGGTCCAATACATAGTCCTCCGTGATGTGTGCTTTGAGACCAGCATCACCTGTCACAACCGTAGTGCACATATACAGACACACAGGCACACAGAGGCACATACAGACAGAGAGACAGAGAGACAGACAAACAGACAGAGACAGACAGACAAACAGACAGAGACAGACAAACAGACAGACAGACAGACAGACACATGTACAACAATATCCAGGTAGATGACGAATTGCGGACTCTTGCTGGAACAAGAAGGTACCGGTATACATGTATCTGAATTCCAAGCTTGACAAAATATAGAGCTTGGAAATTGTTGCGGCAGAACAATACTCAGAAAATGAGCTCACGCTTAATGCTGTGGAGAGGTTCAAAGACTCGTGGTGTTGAGCAAAAGCACAACAGCATCACTTGAACAAAGAACTGTGAAATACGCCCAAAGCTTACATGATGTTCTGCGTAGCTGCAGCCACTCAGACACAGATGGCACGATACACTGCAGGGCTGTATCGGGAAAGTGAGTGCACGCGCCCGTTACCAACTGCCGAGCTTGTGTTCTGCAGCGGACCATGGTGCATGCACAAGTACAAGCACAAAGACAGACATACACAGGCACACAGACACACGTTACACACAGACACAGCACATGTAACGGATACAGGAATCTGGCATTGACCAAACAGCACTAGCATTACAGATAGTTGAGGTGGAGAACACTGATTGTCCACATGCAGCTCCATGTCTCTTGACAAGTATCTACCACTGTCTCAGGTTCACTAACTAATGCTTAGAGTAGATATCATAACCTGCTCAACATATAACTACAGTGCTGCTCAATTAAATCCAATCGCGTGAGTCAAGTTTGCACCGTGCACCATTTCGCAGCCCAGTGTTCGCAGGTCTAGGGCTGTGCAACGCCCGGCGTACTTGAGTGACTCAATCAGGTTTCATTGAGCATTACTGTACATGTACTACAAGCACATAGTACTTACTTCAAGTGATATATTCAGATATTCCTCATACGTATGCAGAACAGGTTAACAACTGTTTATCACAAGCTCAACTGTCCAGTCACTGCAATCTTTCCCTCAACTCCCGCTGGCGTCTAAAAGGCCCTGGTGACATTTATACAACATACCTGACCTCTGCTGCTTCATCGTTTTGCAATGTACGCATGATGTGCTCAACGCATAGTGAGACCTGCAGCAGCAGTACATAGCACAGTAGTACATTACCCAATTTAGCTCGTAGCTGTACTCATGAGGCCTTTATGGCCGAAACAGCTTGCTGTCTACAGCATTGGGTAGCAGAGTGCAGTATGTACCCTATCGTGGAAAGCCGGGAAGCCATCAGCAGAGGACGGCAGACACACCGACCGAGCGTTACAACTTACAATATTCTAGTACGACCTGTATACATGCACGGTGAGCTACGGTCGTTTTCACTTGCACTTTTGAAGGAATTCACGTCCATCTCTTTGTTACTTCGCTGCTAGCAATTGCTCATTCAATACTCTTCCTTTTCTGTTTTAGAAAGTTCGGTAATTGCATGCAAGTTGTTGTGGACATGAGTTATGAAATGAGAGAGAGAGAGAGAGAGAGAGAGAGAGAGAGAGAGAGAGAGAGAGAGAGAGAGAGAGAGCTGATACAGTGAGGTGCTCAATTCTTCTTCAAAATACCTACACACCATACATGTACACGCACAGTAGTGGTGAAACGAATATACCGAATATACCGAATATACCGAATATTCGAATGTTCGTTCGCTTTGTCACATTCGAACGAATATTTCTCATGGCGAATATTCGCTAACCGGGTACACTGTATGCAGAGTTTACCGGGCGACTTCAAACTTCCGTAACTTGGCGAATACTTGACCGAACCGCTTCATCGAAAGTTCCATCGGCATTAGAAAACTCTCAGCTGTCGTCTCGAAGCAACCTGGACGCGATCCGAGGTCCTGGAATGGAGTTATGGCGGTCGAACGAAAAATCACGTCTTGAGCTGTTTTTTGAGCGTGTAAAATGCATTTCAGCTGGGGATTTTGTGAAAATTGACCTAGAAATGATGGAGAAATATGTGCCTTCGTTTGTCATGCCTAATAATAGTGACAATATCCAATAAAATGACTGAGAGGAGGGCGTGTGATGTCATCCGTGTTAACGAAAGAATATTCGTTCGTTCGTTCGTTAAGCCAAAGAATATTCGGCTACTGGGTTTTGATATTCGTTTCACCACTAATGCACAGTAGATGTACATGCACAGTAGATGTGGAGCATTGCTCACTGCTGCAACATACCTGGCCTGTCGACAACACAGTTGCCGAGCTCATGAACGGCTGCATGCACTTGCAGCCAAACACGCGCAAGGCTGCGTCGCCATCATTGATACTCGTGAAGATGATGGACAGGATTGAGTCAATGTGTGTAGCCAAGGGGAGCTCGGCTACAGAGAAAGCAAACAGTGCGTACAGAGACAAGCCAGAAAAACAAACAGTGAGTGCAGAGACAAGACAAGCTGGATAAGCCGGTTAACGCTCGTGCACTGGCAAGTTCATCACTTTCTGTACACACAACGCACGCATGCTGAGTGTTGGCAGGAAATCGATCCACATAGCAATGTGACCACATAGAGAGGGAACCGTGAGTACCTCAACAGCAGCCACCTTGGCTCACAGGGCAACAAAGTTTAAAAAAACTTCCAAAATAAATATAAATAATAATAGCGAATGTCCCTGGTTCGAGTCCTGGTGGTGACAGCCAGTTTTTTCTTCAGACCTTTCCATTCACATCTTTCCCTCAAACCAATAAATACAAATAAAAAAATTTAATATGTGTGTTTGTGTGTGTGTGTGTGTGTGTGTGTGCATGTGTGTGTGAGTGTGAGAGAGTGTGTGTGTGTGAGTGTGAGAGAGAGAGTGTGTGTGTGTGTGTGTGTGTGTGTGTGTGTGAGTGAGAGAGAGAGAGAGAGAGAGAGTGTACATGAGCAAAACATGTAATACAATCCAACACAGAGATGTGAACATACCTGGTGACTTGCTGTGGTATGGCACTGCGACTTGAACTAACGACTTCAACGAGTCCAACAAACTACACTGTAGAGATGACTGCAAGGCAGCAGATCAGAAAGAGAAGACTTCAGAATTACTTCTACTGCCATTACTAGACAATTAGGCTTATTATTATTATTATTATTCGCACATATCCGCCGGATGAGTACGCGTGGCCCATGCACCATGGGGACCCACGAATACAAACCAGCATATGTTCCCTCAGCAATACAAGCAAGCAAGCAAGCAAAGATAAATGAGAGCCCAGGCAGCGAAAACAAAACGAAGAGAGATGAGGACATAGGCAACGAAAACAGTTCCAAAGCGTAGCCAGGGATTGAATGTGTGCATATGGGTACAATTAGGCTTACAAGTACATGGCGCAAAATATGAGTAGGCATGCCTCCTTCTATGTCATCATCGGCAAGCCACATGATAACATGTCCTTTTTCACATGAAAAGGACAATATGAAAATGACACAACTCGCATGTACAATAGACCAGCAGCAGCAGCAGAAGCAGCAGCAGCTCATGCACAGTATCAAAGTATGATAACATGTGTACAGTGTACAGTGTACATGGTTACTGACTACTCACCGTAGTGTGTTCAGCATACTGTGCAGTGATCACTGGCACGCTGGCATCCAGCACAATGCTGCAGGCAGCAGCTGTGAACACGCGCACATACCCAAACAGCCGGCAGGCACCGGCATACAGAGTCAGATGCAGTGATTCACATGACATGATTGTGTCAAGAATTTCGATGTTGAGCGGGCAGTGATCAGATTTCAAACGTTTTGCTGTCTGTTGATGTCAGTACACGCAGCTACATGTACGGGTACTCTGGTAGTTGCAGAGGACCTAGGTGCTAGGTGTGCCTTAAACGCCACATTCAAAATTCCTTTTTAATTTTTAAAGGCTACACGACCGTATTGTCGTATTTTCCGGAGTACAAGCCGCACAGGAGTGTAAACCGCACTGGAGTATAAGCCGCACGCAGAAAGAAAATCAAGTGCCCACGCACAGAGCAGTCTTTGAGCGTGAGTGGATATGTGTATTCGTCGAGCGCCATAACTCTACGAATATTGATCCCATCGCTTCAGATTGTTGCAATGGCAAGCTGAGAACTTTTTCTTCGACCTACATGTTTCCATTGTGAGAATCGAGTAAGTATTGACAAAGTTACGATCATTTGAACGTACGCGCGTCCTGTGAATCCTCATCAATACGTGATGTACACTGATCATGTAATAAATAGTACAGGCTCAGAGCCTGGGCATCATCTACTGAAGTAGAATCATGTAATAGTGCGGGATCAACAGTGAATGGATTAAAGTGCGGCTTATTCTCCGGAGTACGGTACGTTTGCATCGCCCACTGCTGCAAACCTTCATGGACTAGTGCTATAGCTTTAATTACTACACTTAGTGACTGCACAGTGTACACCGTACCTGATCCAGAGCATGCCGCTGATAGGATCTGTGTGCTGATGCTGGACAAGCCGAGCTGTGGTTGCTTGTAGTGGTGGCAACATTCTACAAACACAGCAAGGCACACCAGACCAGCACTGTTATTGTCTTGCACATGATGAATACAGTTAGTTACTGGGGTAGGTTATTCATGAGGATGAATCTCACCAGCAAGCAGTCTCTAGGTATTTCCCCTCGCCACCAAGGTGTGATTCAAGATCATTCCCTGTACACAAGAATACACATAATGTCCAGTGGAAACCTACCTTTGATGATACGATCTGTCATGTCTTTCAAATGTTCATCGGACGAGTCCTGCCAAAACATGTACCCATGGACACACACACACACACACGCACACGCACACACACACAGCATGATTTCATTGGGAAATAAAGTGATTACTAGTATATTGCTGCTGCTACTGCTGCTCTCACTCAAGCAGTACTTCGTCAATATTTTAATTGAATACATGAATTGTATACTTTTTCGACCTGATTATCATTTGCTAAGTAACCTATTTCATGCATACATTTTCGTCTTGTCGGCAGACATGACACATTGTTGTGAGAAACCTTACCTCACTGAAGACGCCTAGCAAGACGGGTATGCACTTCAAGCATGCATTCTGAAGAGGGAAAAAATGCAACAAGCCAACATAATACGCGTGCGTGCATGCACATGCGCACACATGCGCGCACACGCACACACACACATACACACACATACATGAACATACAAGTCATCGAGCAAGGGACATTCGAGAAATTCGCTAGTACTCTGAGTTTCATGCAAAAGCACTCATCAAACAACTTCATAATGACATTCACAAGAGAATACACCAAATAAATAGCCTACACTGGGTTGAAATTTGGAGGGATTCGGGTGCTACGCTAATATGCTGTGCCGCATACACGCACATACGCATTACGTACACATATCTGTATCTGTGCCAGTATACGCCCGTCACAAGAGAAGCATGCATATCTGCAAATGCAGTGGGTGTACACCCACAGCATTTTCTCTTATAGCAACGATAGCGGACAAGATCTGAATGAAACAGACCAAGACTAGCGCCAGATAACTGCCTAATCCACACAACTGGCGAAGCCATGTGAATCTATCCCCAATGCACACCTGGTCTACACCACACGGGGTACGTCGGTATAGAACGGCAAAGACAGTTACCTATGCACACCCTACATTTGCTGGGGTAACCAGTATAGACAGCACGCTGCTTTGATAGAAGCAGACACTAGATGCACTGGCATCTTGAAGTGAAATTGGAGTTACTTTACCAACCAGCCTCGGCAAAGGAGTACTGGGAACCCAGAGCCACCAGACATACCAACAACCTCAGCCATGAAGCTATAACTACAGTAATGACACACTGAATTGTGGAGCCGAAACTAGTCCAACTTCCAAATGTTTTGGCAACCAAGTAGCCTTCCGACACGTTGAGTACTAACTAACCAGACGTGCCCAGGTCGAGGTTCGAATTATCAGACATCGTTTTGGTCCTGGTATAAACTTCTAATTAAGCGGTATGTTCGAACTAAGCCATATTTGAATTATCAGGATTCCACCTGTAGCAAATCCACTTCCTCGATAAACTTACCACCAGGTTCTCGGATGAAGCTCGAAAAATCTAAAGACAAAAACAGAAACAGGATAGACACAAACTAGCTTGCATGTGCGTGTCACTGGTGACAGTAACAACAGAACATGAATAGACACTCAGTCAATAGACACTCAGTCAACGCCCTTGCCCAAAATGAGCGATGCTAAGCAAAGTAAATATCCAGATATCATTGTTGAGTTGTATTTCCCTGATGCACGGCTATTGAAAATCGATAAGGAAATTTTAGAGCTAAGCAAAGTTCTCAACTTCGCAGCTTACCTCGGTTTTCAGTCCTAGCCAAATACCCTCAATGTATTGAGCAAGCTCCTTGGCTCCAAACACAGGTGCTGCCTCTGACAGAGTGAGAACACTATCGAGCTTGGCACTGGCAACATTGGCCGTTAGCTTCTCCAATATCAGTGGCACAGTGAGCTGAACGTCATAAACACAACGGAATGGAAATAAAATGATACGAGGGTGAGCAGCAGCTTTCGGCCTGTTCATCAATGAAGTAGTTCTACATCCACCACATGTGCTCTCTAGCCAACCTCATTCACACTAGCAAAATGACTCCAAGTTGTAGATATTGAAGTGGAAGGAATCAAAGTACAACATTTGGAAGGGTACAATACGTGTGGGTCACATCGTACAACATACCATAAACTGTTGGTTTGGGAGGGGAGGAAGGAGATCAGAGTGTTTCCTGGACAATGTTCGTTTAAGGGACGACGCAAAACCTTTGCGACAGTACATACACCAGTACGATGCACATGCACACACGCATGTACGCACGTTCACATGCACACCCACACCCCCACACACCCACACACACACACACACACACACACGTACATGTACACATGCATGTACGCACATTGACATGTAACTGTTACACACTCAATGCAAACTCACGCTGGCAAACGCCGGAGTGGCGCATAAGCACTTTCGCAGAGCATCGCACAACTGCTCTTGCGTAATGGCTGATGGATCATCCGGTTGCTGCAAAGAAGAAGCAGCAGATGACGATGAGATTGGAAAACAGGAGAGAGAGAGAGAACTCCAGTTCTGTATAACAGCAGGACCTTTATGGTAACGAGATAGTGGAAACTTTACGTGGATGCAAGACTACTATAAGACCACCACACGCC